CCCCCAGCCGCGCTGTTGTCCCGCAGGCATCGCCCAGCCCAGCCGTCCTGCCGGGTACGGGCCGCAGGGCAGCACGGACCCCTCTCTGCTGTCGAGGGGCTCTGCCTCGTGGGGCATGGTACCGTGTGTGGTACCACAGGGGTGTGTCCACTGTAGGAAATCACGGTACAGCAAGCTCCTTGAGGTTCTGTGCACCATGAAGCTCCTGCCATCAGTTGAAAAGGTAACAAGGTTCCCCAGTGCTCCCATGGCATGTTCAACCGTGGGAGATGCAGAGCTGACATGTCAGGCCTCAGGAGAACTTTGGAGAGTTACCCCAGTGCTCTGTGCTGTGCAGTTGTTTTAGTGTGTGCAGGAGGACAGATTTAGGCCAAGCATAAGAGAAACTAAATCTGTTACCAGGCTTTACTTGTCAGGAATTGCCTTCTGCCCAAGGCAGGCCTTCTTGGGTCTTGCTAAGATACAGATATTCTCTATTCCCAGTTGTCTGGAACAGATATGCACTGAATTCTGTTGTGGCTTGTTAAAGAGAAAAATATTTGAAAAGTAAACAAAAGTTGTAGACAGACTAGTGAAAACAAGACGCCTTTTAAGCTTAAAACATGACACAAGTGGTACTCATGAATTTACAAGGCTGCTGTAGCTCTGTGCCAGAGCAGTACTCAGCACAAAACCAGAAATCACCAGATACAAATTTTGTTTTGGACAAAAGTCACCATTCCTTTCTTGATGCTGTGTGTCAACAGCAGGGTTTCTGGAGAAGCTTGTCATTCAAGGGAAGACAGATTGGTGGAGAAACACATCATCTCTGGTCACATATTGGCCCTTCATTTTCTCATTCACAAACAGAAGGACCAGCCAAGGGGAACATTAGGTTGTTCAAACCTTATTAGCAGTTTGGCCATGGGTTTGAGGTTATTTCAGTCATCCACTGCCTTACATGCTATTTCACCTTATCTCCTTATTCTGTTTGGGTTGTTGTTTTTTGGGGGTTTTTTTTCCTTCTGATTTAGGCAGTCAGTACAAAGCCACTTTTTACAGTACCTTGCTTGTGAACAGAATGAGCAATGCTCTTGGCCAAGCATTAAGATTTGCTGATCCTCTGGTTTTCCCAGAAGTAGGACTGTAAGCCAGAGGGGCACGTACAAGATCTGGTTTTGCTTGTCCTTCTGTATGTGAATTTGATGAGGTTTTCAGTGCCAATAATCATTCACAACCACTGAAAATTACCTTCACAGAATCACAGAATCCTAGGGGTTGGAAGGGACCTCAAAAGATCACCTAGTTCAACCCCAATGCCAGAGCAGGATCACCCAGAGCACATCACACAGGAACATGTCCAGGAGGGTTTTGAATGTCTCAAGTGAAGGAGACTCCACAGCCTCTCTGGGCAGCCTGTTCCAGTGCCACTCTTAAATATTTTCTGGTCTCTAAGAAATGTTTCACAACATAAAACTGCAGAGAGAAAGAAAAAAAATGAAAATAATATTTTCCAGCATACTTAATTTGGAAAAAAAAAACCTAAACCAAACAGTTTTACATGCATGTCATAAATTTATTAAGTCCCTGTTTGTTTCTAAAATGCTAGTTATGAAAATCAGGAGATGCTGCAGTTTAGTACAATAGAGTCAAATACCTTTCCCCAGACATTTCAGTCCCTCCAAGGCATGCACAGTTTGGAATTAATTTGAACTACCAGTTCTAGGATGCTGCTTCATTTTTCTAACAGTGAATCTTTTTGTCTGTACTTGTTCTACAGATTTTTTAAGGGTGACTTACTTTTCTTATCATATGAAAGTACCATTTGTTACTCCTCACAGAGCAAAATAATGATCAACTGGAGGGGTTTCTTTCTGGCTCAGATGGCAATGAATGGCATTTATTCATGATGTAAAATTAGTAGGTACAAATAAATATTTTAGTTTCTTTGGGTTTGCTTTTTTTAAAGAACTGTATTCAAGTGTGTTAATATTTGGGTCATCACTTTGGCTCTAGTTGTCGCAAAGAGTAATCCCTCCTAATATGTGAAGAAATTAACCTCTGCTCCTTACTTTGCAGAAAGACACAGTTGGAGGACAGTGTTGAGAGGTGTGAGTTCAGGAAGAAAGTCCAGCAGCAGAGTCCCAAGATTAAGAGTATACTTAAGAGTTTTCCTGCACCAGGCTCGTTGGCAAGGAAAGTGTTGCATGGTACCCAGGAAGAGGAAAACAGGTCAATAATCTGTACTTTCTGGCCATTGGTAACATAACCTGTACAGGCATATAAAAGCTGTGGAGAATAAACACTGAAGTGTTCTCTAATCTTAGCTTTAAAGTTCAGCTTCTCAGTGCTGTGACTGCTTAAGGAAGCCAGGTGATGTGTCTCATGCACGACTCTTCAGCATTGTGAAGACACAAAGTACTTTTCAGATCTCTTTTCTTTTTAGAAGGGATGCAGCTTTGTACTTCCTTCAAAGAGTGTGCACCGACAGTCAGCAGCAGCTGGTACGAGTTCCTACATGGGCCAGTGTCAGCTTTTGCAGTCAAAGATTTCTCACTCTGGATTTTCATAAGTCTGCCTTGGGATAAGTCTCTGTCATCATTGTCTGGACATGATGTTCAGTCCGATCTTACCTCCACAGAGATAATAATCTTAAATGTGTCAATTTTACCCATCCATTGCCCTGCACTGTCTCATAAATTTATGCCCTCCCTGGTACTCTACCTCACAGATCATAATACTTTTCTTGAAAATACTGTAATTTTTGTTTTTAGTTAGCCCTTCTCAGCTTGGATGCCACCTGTAAATTCCTAACATCTTTTGGGGCTGTTAATGCTACACAACTTAAATATAGAACAAACAAAAATTATACAAACACACCAGTAAATTCATGACATCAGTGATATTACCAGCTTTCCATACACATTGATATATCAATAACAAGCCATGAGACTTGATAACAAGCTGCATTGGTTCCTCCTTCAGCATATGGTAGTAGCATGAGAGGTTCTTCAGCAGGGCCAGGGAGGTGATTCTCCCCCTTTACTCAGCTCTTGTGACACTCCACCTGGAGTCCTGTGTCCAGTTTTGAAGCCCCCAATGTAAGAAGAACATGGAGCTCATGTAAAAAGTCCAGAGAAGGGCCAGGAAGACGATCCGAGGGCTGGAGCACTTCTGCTACAAGGACAGTCTGAGAGCATTTGGGCTGTTTAGCTGTTTAGTGCTGCCCATGTGAGGTGTTAGAGATGCTGGAAGAAGATTTGGGAGGTTTGAATCATGTTGCTCACTTGGATGACTGGGTACCTAAGCTAATATTTAAGGCAATCTAGTGATTGTTCTCATCTAGCCTGAGCCATTGCAATCAATCCTTTGAGGTGTGTACCCCAGCCATTGTAGCTGAGAAGAGATCTGTCCAACGTTCAGGTGGACTCTCCAATATTTGTCTCTGCATATATAACTAGTCTATTAGTACTGTGGAGTTTTGAAACTTCTGTTGAGTTTAGGAGCTTTTAGCCTTCTGCCTCCTGGACTTCCTTACATGCTACAGGAAGACCTAATCTGGACACAAACATTTAACTGGGCTTTTTTGTTCATCCTCAACATTTAGGGCTCTAATATTGATGAATGCTGTGATTAATCTTGAAAATGGTACTTGAACTACAAATATGAGACTCAGATGCTGGCAACATTACTTCTGATGTTAGTGTTAATGAACTGTTTTAGTTGTCATTGAACTATTGAGAAAAGATGAGAAGATTGTTTCCTAGGAGGTTCTATGCAAATTCAGGAATGGTCCCAGCAGCTTTGGGTCAAGACTCAGTGTTTCCTCTTCACAGCAAGATGCTTTTTCCTGTATGTGTTCACAGCAGAAGTTTTACATTTTGATAATTCCATCCTTTTCAGCAGGATCAAGTGGATAACTTCACTACCCAGAAGATACACTAAGTACTCCATGAGAAAGATTCTGAGAAGGAAAATAGTCCTAAACCAAAGAAGACTAGTTTGTTTGGAAATTACCAAAGGAACAGCAATAGTCTGCCACAGGTAAAATGACCTGTTTCTGAAAAGATCTGTTCATGCTGAGACAGTATAGGGATGATGAAGATCTTGCTGGCTCTTGGAGATCAGTAGGGTCTTGCCAAGAAAACCAGACCTGTGGATTTTCCCCACTAGTGCATGCACTGAACCCATGATTTCTCTCTTCAAAAGACATTCTGCTTCAGCTTAAAGAAGGGTATTCCAGAAAATCAGCTGTTTTTTTTCCCAATGTTTAACACTGTTAAATGTGAAATTATTTAAAGTAGGATTTAAGATGCAATTATTTTTATTGGCACTATGATCAGAATCAATCCCTCACTTTTAATCATGGCTGTGTTTTATAGCTGAGATTAAAAATTAATTATTCTTTTGCCTCTAGAAGAATTACACCGCCTTTTATATTCTACAGTATTTCCTAGGGTGTTTTACAATTCCATTGAGCCTGTGCAATGATACTGTTGGTTTTGCAGCACTTGTTGTGCAAATGGCAGTGATCTGGATATTTTGTTTTTAAATATACCTTCTGTGTCACCAAAAAAAGAACAGTTTTGGCGAAATAGAAATTTGGGAAAAACGTGTTGGAACCAATATCTTAGAGGGTTTTTTCCTAAAAAATATTTTTACACAGAATTGAAAAAAACTTTGGAATTAAATAACATTTCATTTGAATTTGAAACATCATTTAGAAAATGTAAAAAATTAATTATGTGGGGATAGGGAGTTGCATCATGACTTTTGATTCAGGTCATTTTATGTGCTCAAAAGAATTTCACAAAATGTTCTGGTTTATTCCAATCTGCATGTTCCACCAAAAAAATTTAATAAGTTTCTTCCCTCCAGACCAATCTCAGCTATAGAGCCTGCTGGGAATACTTTTAGCTGAAGTCACCAGGTGAAGCTGCTACATAGGGCTTTGTTATTGTGTAGAACATGAGAAGAATTTTAGGTTTTAAGGAAAGCTTCTGTTACTGTTTGCTCATTTATATTTAATGCTGGTATATAAAAAGCTATGGGGAGCAGCAAGAACATTTGCTCAGGAGAGCGCAGGTGGAAGTGTTTACTGTGGTTTCATGTGGGCTAAGATTTTTAGAAAAGAGAGCCAAGAAGCACAAAACTGGTGTCCAGGCTGTTACAAACAGTCCAAACAGCAGGGGAGGAACAGCTCATGCCCACACTGCGTGGGGCTGTCATTCTTTTGAGCAGATATGCTTGGTACAAAATAACTGGCTTTCAATTTTTCACCCCTTGGGATGCTCTGTACTCTTATGGCCTTAAAACACAACTATGATTTTGGGGAGGGTGAGATGACTGAAGAAAGTGCGTGAACTAATAGAAAGTCTGTGCTGCAGCCCACCAAAAAGGTGTCTTTGTACAAGGAATCTGGATGGGGGGCATGTTACATGCCATGGGATTTGGTAAGCATGCCTGCTTGTTCAGGGTGGCAGTAGGTGTGTCTATTCAGTAACATACCTTCTGTAGTGCTGATTTCTACTATGTTGGGAAGCAAAGGGATGAGACTTGTGCCAGAAAAGGGTCATTAATATTTGCTCTCAAAATGAATGAGATCATCTTCATTCATTATTTAGTTTTATTTTGAAGTTTAGTATCATTAAATGTGTAATTGTGCTCTGTATCTGAAATTACCAAACTGATATTACTGAGATTCTAAGCTGCCTCCATTTTACTGCATCAGATGATAATGAATAAACAGAACTGGGGAATTTTTCCTTTCTTTATTCACTGAGTGAAACATATTTTCGTGCAGAAAAGCTGTTAAGATCCTTGAGGAACGTATTGCCCGATTTCTATTTCAGGAGCTTCCATAAGAGGTAATGAACTGGTCATGTGGAACATTGTGGGGTTTTTTGGCTCTCCCATGCATGAAACAGCTATTCCATGGTTGCTTCTCAGATGGCTTTTGAGAATAAGAATACCTACATGGGTAATGGCTGGAAGAAGCACCTGGTGATTTGAAGAACCTAATGGTGATAAAATGGGTGTTCTGCAATCAGAAAGTTAGTTCAGCAGAGTGGGCTTTCCCCATCTTTTTTTCCTCTCCGAAGAATAGCTGTTCTTCAGGGAATGTCTGAGCAAAAGGGGTATGGCTAATGAGCTCCTAATTCAGCTAATTGACAGTTCCTTAAATTTCCAACTAAGCGTTGTTAACAACTGGCATGATTTAAGGATGTTCTTTGTGCCTTTTTCCCGTATCCTCATTGGACTCTGCCAAGTGCTGAATAATCTGACCATAAGTAATGAAAAGATATTTTATAGTTTGCATTTATTTTTTCAATGTTTTCATCATATTCTTTTGTGGCCATAACTGAAAAGGAAAAGCTTGGGAGAATAAACAGAAACTAACAATGTATCCTGGAAATGTATAGCTCTGGAGTTTGTGAATTGGGAGAACTCTGAATTAGAAACTGAACTACTGAATTTGAGTTAAGGAAAATGCATGAAGTACAATTCAATTGGACCCTCTTGACATCAGCACTTTTTGCAGTCTCTGTTTTTGCTTTGTGCTACAGGTATAGAGACAGTCTCAGAAGTAATTCTTACCAATTAAGGTTTATAAGGTTAAAACTGGCTTTTGCTCATAGACCATATGACTAGGCAGTGAAGGCAGGTAAGTATGAGAATAATACACATGAATAGCCCATAACAAGCTGTCTGACCTGTGATGTAGCAGCTGCACTCTGAAGTGTCTTAAGAGTGAGTGCATGGCAGCCATCAGAGTGAGAAGGGAAGGGACATAGAATCATAGAATGCCAGGTTGGAAGGGACCTCAAGGATCATCTGGCCCAACCTTTCTAGGTACTACTACAGTTTATATGAGGTGGCTCAGCACCCTGTCAAGCTGAGACTTAAAACTGTCCAATGTGGGGGAATCTACCAGTTCCTCTGGGAGACTATTCCAATGTTTGATTGTCCTCATGGTGAAAAATTTACCTCTTGTGCCCAAACGGAATCTCCCCAGGAGGTTGTGCCCATTACCCCTTTTCTTTTCCATGTGACTCCTTGTAAATAGGGAGACTCCATCTTCTCTGTAGTCACCCTTTAAATACTGGAACATGGTAATGAAGTGTCCCTGAAGCCTTCTCTTCTCAAGGCTGAACAAACTCAGTCTTCTCAGGCTCTCCTCATATGGTAGGTCCTCCAGTCTTCTGATCATCCTTGTGGCCCTAGACATAAAGACGGTTGTGTCAGGGACATACCTGGTACCAGATATTCCTTTCTTCTAGCTGCAATTATTTTTAAGATGGTACATTTCAGTTGAGATATGAGCACTGTTTACCAAATACATCTGCATGTTTTTCATCATCTATTCTAAGTTCACACACTTTGGGCTGGCAAGCTGGATGCCCTTCCAGGGAACTATTCCCAGCCATAGTTTCTGGACCAATTGTCTGATCTTCCCCAAATCTCCATGCTGATTCCTGAAGTTAAGGCTTAAAAATACTCATAAGAAAATACTGAAATTCTGGTCTTGTGATAGCCAAGCCTTTACTGCTGGCACTCCATAGAGGTTTTTTCTCCTTTAGACAGCCATATGATATCAGCATAGCATACCATCTCACTGCACAGGCTGAGTCTTGCCAAAGGAAACACAATGAATTTAGCTTCACCCACCCAGAGGAGCCACAGAGTCCGAGCACTTTATCAGCCATCCACCAAGGAAATTGAAGACACGAGAGATGGAAGGAATGATAGGTCATCTAATCTCTTTTTCTGTTTTTGCTGGTCTGGTTGCCAGGGAGATACTGTATTAAAAGGAGTGGTCCTCATATTCCCTTCACTTATAACCTGCCTCATTGTAAAAACAGTATTTAAAAATAAAGTTTAAAAATACTTGTCGACTGAAAATGTTATTGTGTCATTTAGCCAAGCTCAAATAATTTAATACTTTCAATATTCTTTGTAAATGATCTGCTTTTTTCTGTGTTTCTCTAAATTCTATCCAGGTTTTCCTACTGAAATCCATAGAGCAGAAAAAAGTCTATTCAGACTAACAAACCATATTTTTCTAAATAGAAGTCAGGGGCTTGTTTATAGAGAGTGCTTTAACACAGTGCATTCCCTTTCCCCACTTTCCTTTCTTTGATCTCTCTAAAGGCTTCCAGGACAGACTCCTTCTGTTTTCCCTTTTGTGGAAATGGAAGCTCAATATGAATTCAACTAACTTTTTTTTTTCCCCCCACGTATTTTTCCTTAGAACATATGTGCTTGCTGATACATGTTTTTAAATTCAAAATTAACTCAGTGCAAAGGTTCACTGAGAATAGCACGACATTCATTTGCTCTGTAAACATTCCCAAATTTAAGGAATGGACAAAAGATCCAGAAGTCTATGAGTAAAAGTTGGGATTACTTTTTAGTCTTCTCTTCAAGCCATCTGATCTGGCACATAAGGCTGGGTCTTGTGAGAATTTAGCCTTGAAAGAAACTGGTATCCTAACAGACTAAGTGCTAGACACACAAAACCATCTGTTTTGGAACACCACAACCTCAGCATTTTTTGCAGAGACACATGGATTAAGTTATAACAATTCTGAAATTGAGCATCATTCTATTTGCTTTCTGAGTTTGTTAACAGATTGATATAAATAAAAGCAAATATTAAGCAAATATGAAAGTTTTCTAGATTGTTACT